CAGTGATTATGAGGATGGCACAGGACCAGACAGTGTTTTGTTCTGTTGTGCATAGGGTCACTGTGAGTTGGAACCAACTCGACGGCTCCTAACAACACTTGTCCATAGGGAGTCCTGGTGGTATAGTGGGTTATATGTTGAACTACTAACCATAAAGTCAGCAATTTGAATTCACCAGCAATCCACCTAGATGAGGCTTTCTGCTTCCGCAGAAACCCTATATATAGGGTCAGTATGAGTTGGAACAGACTCAATGGTACACATATTTGTTCCTTTACTAGGGATTTTTCTTCTTATGTATGGATTTGCATTAATTCCTTGTGTCTGCAGAACTTTCATTAGTATTTCTTCTGGGGGCAGTCTAGTGGATATGAACAGTTTCTGTTTATCCGGGAATGATGGATACATATATATGCGATAAAGCAAGTATAATGAAATGCTAGTTGTAGAAACTGGGTGGTGGACATATGGGTATTCACAATATAATTATTTTGACTTTTCTGAAAGTTTGAAAATGATCATAGAAAAACATCAGGGAAAAGAAAAAGAGGTATGGGTTATTATCTCTGGCATCTTCAAAGTGACTGCCATGGTTTATGCATCTTAACTGGGATCTTGCATAATCATCTTTACACTGGACTCCATGCTAGTTCTCTTCAGTGTTTTCCTCATTCCGATTGACAGGGAGTACATTTAGAAGCATAAATTGGGCCTCCATGATCTGCTCTGTGCCAATGCCTTCAGCTTCAATCCCCTAAGACTTTCCACTTATAATTCAACCTTATACACCTTGCTGCTTCATGACTCTCTATTTTTGCTTATGCTGTTTGCTTTGCTTAAAATGCTCTATTTCAACTAATCCTGCCTCCTCTTGCCTGGTGAGACTCAAGTCAGGTGTTTTGCTTGGGAGTCTTACTTCTCCTTAGACTAGGTTGGGTCTCTTTCCTCTGTGCTCTCTTAATTGTTGTTGTTGTTGTTAAGTGCCGTTGAGTCGGTTATGACCCATAGCGACCCTGTACAGGGTTTCCGAGGGTGTAAATCTTTACGGGAGTAGAAAGCCTCATCTTTCTCCCGCGGAGCGGCTGGTAGTTTTGAACCGCTGACCTTAAGGTTCGCAGCCTGATTCGTAACCACTACGCTAACTAATGTTGTACTTATCCCAGAGTATGCTGAACTTGAGTTTCCATGTCGTTGTACTAAATCACATGGTTCTTGAGGGTCAAGTCTGCCAGTTTTGATAAACCACGGTAGACCTTGATGGTTGATACTAAACTGGCATGGATAGTCTGGCATGTTCTGGCATGCTTGTATCATGTATCGCCTATGCTGAAGTTTAAGCTCCTGACACCACAATGACTCAACCATCTCCCTATGTCCTTCAACCACCACCTTCCTTGTGAAGCTAACTTGATTTCCTTCCCCAGTTTGAAATAATCTCACCAATTCCTTTAAAGGTTTATTTTCTCTGTACTTCTAAGATTACAGGCCTTGTTGGGCAAATTGTGGCTAGGAGAAATTAAACATTTACTAATCAGCGGTTCGAAACTACCAGCCGCTCCGCGGGAGAAAGATGAGGCTTTCTACTCCCGTAAAGATTTACACCCTCGGAAACCCTGTACAGGGTCGCTATGGGTCGGACCCGACTCGATGGTACTTAACAACAACAACAACAACAAATCATCTAGAGTGCCAAACAATGAATTAACTTCTTTAAAAAAATATTAGCTACAATTCCTCCCAATAATGCTATGAGGTAGGTATTATATCTTCGTTTGACAGATGATGAAATTGAGGCAAATAAATGTAACCAGATCAAGACCACATGGTAGCAGAGCTAGAATTAAATCACTGGTCTTCTCAACTCACAGGCACATCCTTTTTCCAACCCAGTCCAGTGTGTCCATGTTGGGCCAGATTCTGGAAATCCATGAAATCCAGAGAGTGTAAGAAGCAATGAAAACTCAAAGGATGGTAAAATTAGTACTTTAGGGAGATAACCCCAAAAGCTTGTGTATGATGGAATGGAACATGGTGAAGGCCGCTGGACTCCTGACTCTCTTACTACATTCATGGGTAAATATTGGCCTTGTGATATAATCTCATGGGGAAATAGTATGAGAGGATGAACTATTTTGAGCGTTGAAAGCTGAAAAGTGGATAGAGTATCTCTTGGGTTGTGTGAGAGATGGACTCATCATTCTGCCTCCTGGAAATAACCTGGGATTTCTACCCCTTTAAAGATTAGAAATCCAAAGAAAGGTCAGAGTTGACTAGGGTGGGTAAAGTCTTCCTTAGGGAAAGTGACATTCAATGAGGCATTAGATGAGATGATAACCTCCCATCTTTGGTTCACATATTGCCTCCTTAAGTTAATTGCTTCACTGGTCTCCCTGACTTTAGTATATCCCCCTCTCCCCTGACTTCTCCATTGCTTAAGGGTCCTTTTAAAAAGCAAGTTGGATCATTCCACTGTCTGCTTAGAATCTTTTTCAATGGCTCCTTATCATTCATGGGATAAAGTTCAGCCTTTTGATAAACTTCATAATCACGTACCCTTTATTATCTGGATTTTTAAAATAGTATTCCTAAAAGCTAATCAATTATGATCACTGTCACTGTTATTGGTAAGTGCCTTTGAGTTGGTTCCAATCTATAGCAACCCTATATTGGGTTTTTTAGGAGCAGCTGGTAAGTTTGAACCACCAACCTTGTGGTTCAAACCGACTTTGCAGTCTAGCACATTAACCCACAGCACCACACCAGGACTCCAGAATTATGATTATATTGCTGTGTCAAACTATATTTTCTGAGAGTCTGCATGTTCTCCCTACTGAAAGTCAAAACTCCAGTTATACTAAATTGCTTGCCTTGGCTTAGCGTACTCTTCCTATAAATTCCTGTCTGACTGGCTATTTCTCATCCTCCAACTCAGGCACCACCCCTAATAGGAAGCCTTCCCTGAAGTCCCTGCTTCTCAAGCTGGATTCCCTGTCTACCACTTTGTGTTTATATCTCTCCCTGCATGGTACCAAAATGTTGTTCTCCTCCACTCAATTTACAGATTGCAAGGGTCATGTAAGTCAACTTGGTGTGAATAGGGTCTATGCAGTTGAGGCAGGGGAAAACATGAGCAAACAGAAATGAGGATCTATACTTAGGACAAGACAGGGCTAGAAGATTCAGTTTGAGAATCAATAGCATCCAGAAAGTTTAGAGATGATCACCTTTTAGAGGGCTTTATAGTTGGGATAAGTCTATCTGGCAAATATAGAAACTGAGACCCAGACAAGCAATCTCCCCCAAACAATTTGGTTAGTCATTAAAAGGAAAGAAGGAAGTCTGAAGTTTGATGCCTTGTTCCCAATTTTTAAACAGGAGCCTGGACTGAGGAGTAAAAATACTGAGATTCTAGCTTATCCTCTAACCTGAGGCTTAGACCTTGCACTGGGGAGAGAGGGATGGGAGTTGGGGACAAAGAGAACCTAGCCCACCTTTCCTAAAAGGGTTTTGAACACCCTCTTCTCTTTTCTGCTGCTTTCTACCAGGAGACACAGTTCTCATTGCCCCAGATTTTGTGAACTCGCCCTACCCAAAAAGACATAATCACCTTACTGGCAGGAATCCTGCCTAATACCAAGATTTAGATTGTGAGAGATGGAGGAAGTCATTAGCAACTGGGACTCCTGGTGTGGTGCTGTAGGATCAGCATTGAACTTCGAACCACAAGGTCGGTAGTTCAAACCCACCAGCTGTTCTGTTCCTCAGAAACCCTATACGGGGTCGCTATGAGTCTGAACCAACTTGTTGGCAGAACAACATTAGCAATTAGTTGCCAGATAGCATCACCCCAGACCCACAGAAGAATTTCCAGGAAGGAGAAATACTGATAAAGTTTAAACTCCTTTTACAGTTGACCCTCAGCCAGTAAGTTTAAACTCCTTTTACAGTTGACCCTCAGCCAGTAAGCCACCTGCCCTCACAGAAATTCAGGTTGGAGGTGACTTACAAACTGAGGCTCCTAAACATCATCCTGGGGGCTCTCTTCAGGACACAACTCTCATGTTGCACATAAGAGGTGTTTAGTAAACATTTGTTGAGTGATTGAACCTTAGCAATTTTCTAACACTGCGAGGTTGGGAAAGAATGAGTTTTGGAGTTAGGCATCTGTGGAAGATGACAGGCTAACTTCAGTCATTTCAGCTGGAAAATAAGGTTAATAGCCATTTCCAACTAGGTTGTCAGTCAGGATTAAATGAGATATGCCCCTTACCCAATGCCTGACACAAAAGGCACTTAATAAGTGATAGTGTTTACTAGACTAGTGAGAGGTGGTAGAACAGAGCAATAATAACACAGACTCTAAAACCAGGTTGAACTCACAACTTACTGTAAGTATGACCCTGAAAAGTTATTCTGTCTGTTTCCTAATCAGTTAAGATGAGGACGTTTGTGAGGATGAAATGAGTCAACATTCATATAGTATGTAGAACAGTGCCTGGCACAGGGAAGTGTTAGGCATTAGCTCTGATAATTATATTCTATCCTTCCACTGACCCTAAGCATAGTGAAGACCAAACTGTACCATGAGAGTTAAAAAAAAAAAAAAAATTCCGAATATATATATATATATATATATATTATATATATATATATATAGAAAGAGGGCACAGGTAAAGTCACTAAAAATAGCTTACAAAAAACTTTCCCAAGGAACCTGCCAGGACCCTTTTCAATTACTGCACTTTTCCTTTTTTGCCACCCACTGTATTTCTGGTTACCTGCTTCAGGCATATGGACTTAGTTCCTCCTGAGTTCAGGGATTCTGTCCCCTTCCCAAACCAGGCGGAAGGTCGGCCCCAAAGTGCTTGCTGACAACTTGTTGAGTCAATGGGATGGAGGAAGAGACACAGAACTTGCAAAAATAAGAAGGCACTCCTGTACCCCACCCCTCACCACCACCACCACCACACATGCACCCACAAAAAGACCAAGCAAAGCAATTGCCAAGATAAATCACTTTTATCTCTATAGGAAAAGGAGGATCTAAAAAAAAAATATAAATTACATTAGTAATACAACATAAGAAAAAAGCAGGAGGGGGAGACAACAACAAAAACAACCCAACAAAGAAGTCTGGATGATGCTACTCTAACCTGTTTATAAAAAGGTCCTGCATCAGAAATTCACAATTCTACCCACTTCTAAAAATATATTTAGGCATGTACGGAAGCGGTGGGCTTGTTTTTAATTTTTTTTTTTTTTTTGTAAAAATATATTAAAGGTGAATAGAAATCCTCTCTCCCTGCCCCCTATCTAATCCCCAGCTCTCTGTTAGGGAGTGGAGACCAGAGGTAACTATCTTACCATGTTCTAAACCTTGGTTACTATCACCTCTAACTAACCCCTCCCCAGCTCACTTCAAACACTTAGAACATTTAAAAAAAAAAAAAAAAAAAAAGCATACTAGTCTCTTTGGAAAAGCATAACTCTGAGGGTAAACTTGCTTTTCATTTGAAACAACACAAAACACAAAAGGGAGGTTCTGAGAACCCAATCAAATGACATGAAACCCAGTTAAATGGAGGTTGGGTTTCAGCTCCACAGAAACTTTTAACAAAGAAACAAGGGGAAAGAACCAGGGGGATTTGCAAGCAATTAGCTGCCTTTGAAAGATCAAGAGGGGTGTTAATGGGCAGAAGGGCTGGAGACCTGGTCTTGGTTACAGCAGTCAGGGCCTAGTCAGGAAGATGCCTCCACAGGGACACAGGCTTCCCCTTCCCTCCTCCTCCTCTCTTCCCTCTGCGGCCTTCAATTCCCCAAAGCCATGTAGAAATAAAGGGGAGGGGTGTAGGGACCTCAAGTGCTGGGGGGAAGGGGGGGGGGAGGAAGCCAGGCGTTTTGCCTTTGGTGTGACTAGATGGAGGACTGCTTGGGCCCTGGGGTCCCCAATGTAGAAAAAGCAAATGGAGCTAAGGGGCCCCTGATTCCAAGGAAGGAGAGTAGAGGTGGGGCTATAGTGAAAAGAAAGACAAACTAGAGACACAAAGAAGACAAGGTAAGTCTCACAGATTCCCTGTGGCCTGCATGGTTAAATTCCCAGAAGCACTGGGCAAGTTGGAGTGATGTTGGATTGGGAAGAGAGAGGGCAAAGATACACTCCACTTGGGCAGTGGTAAAATGGAAGAAGGGGGCATTCTACATCAAGTCCAGATCTCCAGTGAAGCAAAACAGGTAGGAGGAAGGGGCAAGGACAATGGAAAAGATCAACAGAGGGTAGAATAAGGAGGAAGGGAGGATCAGATAATCTGGTCATTCACAGAGGGGTGTATCCTCTCCTAGGCTTCGGCTCCCATGTGGTTCATCTGCACTTTGAGTGTTGACCTGACGTCTGGAAGTGCATAGGCCCAGGAGTGAAGATGTGAGTCCTAAGTCTTCTTCAGACCAAGACCTCAGGTGGGGAAAGAAGTAGGGAAGTTCCCAATAGTGGATCCAGGGGTGAGCTGTCCTGCCACACCCTTTCCAGAAGATCCAGGCTATACTGTGTGATACAGGTGAAGGGAGTAGGTCATTGGGCCAGGGTTATCTGCTTCAGTGGCAGATGCTTTTAGGTTTCTGGGGAATGGCTTTTCACCTGCTGGGGTCCAGCCACAGCAATGTGGATGATGTTCTGCAGGACCTCAAAGTCCAGGCAAATCCATGGAGCTCACCCTAGGACCTATAGCCACCCAAAAGCAGCTTCCTCCAAAGTCATGGTCAAAGGCTTAGGCATTTGTCTTCTATCCACCTTGAGAAATGACAGGAATCTCCCTTCTTCCCAAGGATGAGTGAAATCAGCCCATGGCCTTTCTATGCCAGCTCTGAAAATGGCCCACAGTGGGGTAGTAAGGAGAGTCGGGGTCCTCTTTATTTCTATGAAACATTTGACATGAGAGAGCAAAGGCCAGACCCTTCTCCCAGGTACAAGTATGGAGGTGGGGCATATCCACTAGACTGGGAGGAAGAAGGGGAAGGAAGAGTGGATAGAGATGGGTAGGCTTCTGGAGACAAGGCTGGAATTGAAGAGATTGCTAAGTGCTGGGCCTCCCACTTTATGACCGAGGAAATACTGAGGGGCCCAGGCTTTCTTCATGACTCTCTTCATCCTGCCTTACAGCTCTAGATGGGACAAGAATAAAGGGCAGACAAGGCAGGTAAAAGGAAAATGGGTTGGAGCCGCACAAAAAGAGGGTTCTTGTTAGTTGGACACTAATTCCATTTACCTGCTACTCAGGGGTATGGAGAAGGAAGGTAGGATGTTCTAGTGGAAGTGGGAAAAGGAGTTGGAAGGAGTCAGTGGAGGGGTTCATGGGGGAGTCCATGCCTTTGGTCAGTCCCAAGAAGGCAGGACACTGCGCCTCAGCACCTTGTCTGGGGCAGATACGATCCAGGAGTGCCCCAAAAGTCAACAATGGAGAAGGCAATGGGGGTAAAGGGGTGGGGAGTGGGGCATACGGGGGCTCACAGAAGAAGTTTGCCATTTCTGTGGATTTTCAGGATACGGCCGAGTCTCTGCTTTGCTGTGGCCAGGCCCTTTTTGGGACGTTTTCCTGTGGGGGAAGGGAGAGGTAAGCAAGGTCCCCCAACAGCTTGGGCAAGGGCTTCAGCAGCAACTGTGGTACCAAGAGTACTCAAGCCACCTCCCCTTATCTTTTACTCTGCCCTATAAGTCTCCCCATCCTTAGGCCTGACTTCCAACCCATCTTGGGTAAGAAATTCTTAACTACTTCCATTCAACATTATATGTCTTTGCTTTTCTTCTTATGATCTGGCTACAGTCTGTCCAGTTCCTCTCCCTACTGCTTTAGTGTCAATCATTTTGCTTCCATAATCCTGCAGGGAGGTGACTGCTTCTGTGTCTTCTTATCCTGACCACCAGGATTGGATATATGACTGGTTAATATCCCTAAAGTTATCCCTAAAGTTATCACCCCCAAAGTCTTATTCCATTAGAAATCCTTATCGCCATCACTCTAATGTCACACCAACCTCACCATCCTTAAATTGAATGTACTCTAGGGACTGGGTTTTGAGGGCCAAAGTGAGGAAGAGAAGGAGCTTGATTCCCTACACTTTTGTCTTTTCCTCTCCCCTTATCAAATCACTTCCCATGCCTTATTTGATTAATTTTTCCCAACCTCTATTTCCTCTGCCAGAGCCCAGTCTCTTTTCATCCCTTCCTGAACCTATATATTTGTCACCTCCACAGACTTCCCATCTTCAATCCACCCTCCATTATGGCCACCAGAAGAATCTTTCTAGACCCAAACCTGATCTTGTTTCTTTCTGCTTAAATCCAGTCAATGTCACTCCATGGCCTACAGAATCAAGTCCAAGCTCCTTACATTGGCCTTCAGTGTTCCTCTCTAGTGTTCTCATCTATTAACACTCTTAAGAGTTTGGAGTAGGTGGCCCTAAGGTCCTTCTCAGTTCTACAATCATATGGTATTTGTACCTTGTCCTGACTGATTGCTCTGGGAGCCAACTGAAGGGCGCCGCTGGGTCAAGAAAACACCGGGTGCCATGGGTGTGGTGTTGCGGTTTGCCTGGGCCATGCCAAAGGCATTGGGACGAGCAGTATACTCGTGGTCAGCAAGGCTTCCTGAGAGGGCCTCTTGTTTAGGCTCAGGAGGAGGCAAGGGGTTGAAAAGCTGGGGTGTAGTGATCAGAGTTGGGGCTGGTGTTGCCAGGTTGAGATTGGAGTCTTGAGGGCGAGGCTGTTCTACCTCCTTCAGCAAAGGTTTCTTCTTGACGTATTTCTTCTTCTGGGTCTTCTGCAGCTCCTGAAACACAAGCCAAGTGGGAAGGAAGAGTTCAGGAGTTGAGAAAACAAAAATTCCCAGAAATGGAACTGGGCAATGGTCAATATAGTTCTGTAACCCACCCACCCACTGAGTCTAGCCTGAATGTACACACAACACACAGGCCTTCCAAAACCAGAGGTCATCTCCTTGGTAAATATATTAGGAAATTTGGGTTTTAGTCCTAGCATTGCCACTGATGAGTTAGACCATGGATACTTCTATTAATAATAGCTAAATTTATGCCAGTGGCTGAGGCATTTTATATACTTTCAAAACCAAATACCAAACCCACTGCTTATACTTTATCACATTTAATTATCTTAACAGGCCTGAGAAAGAAAAGTCCTCATACTACAGGTGAGAAAACTGAGGTACAGGGATATTAAGTAACTTGAACCCAAGGTTTCACATTCGAATGTTAGTTAGCTTAGGTCTATTCAACATAGAACCTACAAACTTTAAGATGAAACATCTAAGAGTGGAAAAGTATTAACTTTGGAATGAGATAAATTTAAATCCGGACTCTCAACTTCCTAAACTGGATGTCTTTGGTCAAGTTACTAACCTTTCTGAATCTCAGTTGCCTCATCTATAAAATGGGAAAAATAGTATCTGTTTATTAGGTTTACCGTAAAGATTAAATAATAATGTAAAAGTATATAGAACTAAGTAGTAACTCAATAAGTAGTAAGTTATTATTCTATCTTCATCTCTTACAGTTATTTCTCTTCCTTTTGATGGTCTTTTTCTTTAAAAAGAGGACTTGACAATCCTCCAGGTCACCAGGTCTTAAAAATCTCGATATAGGATGGGAGTTGTGTCACTTTCTCCCAATGTCTTGGATTCCATCCATCCATTGTTCTATGGCTCTACTATTCAATGCCATAGTGGGTACCTGTACAGTGGGCATCGAGCCCTGAGAACCTGGAAAGGTGGTGCTGAGAGCCTGTGAACGACTTCACCTTCTGAAATACTACACAGCCACAAAGACCAACCCATTGAATACATGTCTTTGCCTTCTCTTGGCAACATGGGCCTACTCCTGCCACTCGGAAGATCTGACAGGTTGTGGCTACCATAGGAATTTCTGAGGGACAAGAATAATAATATTAGCAATACATGCCAGACACTGTTCTGTATTTACTCATTTCATATTCAAAAGAATCTGAGAAGAATTATAATCCCATTTTAAAAAATAAAGAAATGGTGGCACAAAGAGGTTAAGTCTTTTACCCAAGGTTAGAGGACCAATAAGTGCCCAAGCCAGGATTCAGATCCAAGCTATCTAGCTTCAGAATCTCTGCTTTCTGCCACATTGCTATTCTATTCATGTCAGGAACTGCATTTCTGCTCCTGTTTCTTTTATCCGAATCCAGATCTATGTCTTTACATCTAGATCACTTAGCCTAAATTTTTTTCTACCTTTGCCACTAATCTCTTTCTTATCCTGACACTCCCACAAAAGATGAGAATGTCTTTTGACAAGGCTACTTTTATCTTGCCAATTCCCTTACTAAATGAAACTGTTAGCAGGTTCCCACCCAAGTTTCTCCTGACCTGACATACATAGTTCTTCCATGGTCTTCCCACTTATGCCTAGCTAACCCATATTGATAATGATGAATAGCTAAAATGTCTATAGTACTTACTGTATGCCAAGTGCTGTTCTAGAAACTTTTACATATATTACCTCATTTAATCCTCACACAAAGTCTATAAGGAAACTGAGGCACAGAGATATTAAGTAACTTGCCCAAGTGATAGAGTTAGGATTCAAACCCAGGTAAAGCAGTTCTACAATCTATGCTTTTAACTACTACTTATCTTACCTCCTTCTCCAACATGAAGCTTCCAATCCAGAAATATCTGCTCATTCATTCATCCACTCATTCACTATAACAGTACTTAGCATAGTAGGAATAGGAATATCAAGTTGAATTGGATATATCCCCATGTCTGAGTCACTCAGAGCTTAGTAAGGGTCACAGAAAAGTATATTTATTACTGTAGGTACTACAAGAGGATGCTATGGAAGTATAAAAAGAAGGCCACTGAAATAAATTGGTAGTAGGTGTTATGAAGGGCACAAGGTAAGACTTCTAAGGGAACATAATGCCCAATGGGCAGAAGACTGTATATAGAGGTATCTTATACACTGACTGAGCCATGAGTATCATGCATATTACATGAGTACTGTAGTGCAATATGGTTGTAGAGTTCATCTACGAAGGGCTGGCAGGTAAGAGAGGAGAGGTGACTAAAAGACCAAATCAAGAAGGCCTTGCATCCTATATTAAGGAGTTGCCTTTTCCTGTAATGTTGCTTGTCCTCTACCTACAAAACCCCTCCCCAATTCCAAAACCACTTCATTGAAGCCATCCCTAGTGAACTAAAAAAGAAGTAAGTTCATATTTCTCATACCTTTAATTAATTTATCAGTTTATTTAAAGCAGCAGGCTCCTCTTATTAAATTACATCTTACATAGCAGTGGTATATGTACAACAAAGAAAAGTTTTGTTCAAAGAAGGGCCAATCTGGCCAGGTTGGTCTCTGTTGGCTCCCAACAAAAGCCTCTGAGACATTTCTAAACAACTCTAGAGCTCCACAGAATATCAGATAAAAAACAAAATAAAATCAAATTTTATTTAAATAGGAATTAATTACTGAATTATATAAACATTTAACTATTTCATTTTATTTCAATAGCAAGTAACATGCAATTTGCAGTTAGAGGATATGAATCTGAATCTTGTCTCCTCCATTTACTCTGGCTGTATTATCCTGGACTAGTCACTTAAAGAGAGTCTCATTTTCTTCACCTGTAAAATGATGAAAATACCACCTATTGTACAGGGCTAATGGGCATATTACATGAGACATTGTAAATGGAAGCACCTAACACACAGATGATGCTCAAATAAATGCCCTAAACTGCAGGATGTGATATGATAAACTAAAGGAATATAAGGGGGGAAATTAGAAAATTCATTTTCAACTGCTTCCAGAATTGCTGAGAGCATTACACAGATTAAAGAACCTTGTAAATTGCAATGATAGAAGGCAAACTTGATTCTAGCAATGATGGTCCTTTAGGACAAAAACGTAGTTGAGTTTTCTTGGGAAGCAGAGGATGAAGACCCAGACAAGGTACATGGTAAAGAGAACAAGAAAAGATCTCTCTCTTATAGGCCTGGTGGCAGGCTGAGACCCTAAGTATACTCAGCTGAGTCACCTCTTCAAGGCTTCATCTCAGGGCTAAAGCTCTCACCTAAGGACAAACCTAGTTTTTCCCACCCAACCCAGGATGGCAAGTGATATTAGCAAAAGTGTTCCTCTGCTCCTACATTTCTTTCAATCCTAAATCACACCATGTAACCTGTGGAAGTAGTTTGTTATTAAGTTGGGTGTGAAGGATACAGGAGGGGTTTGGGACACTATCATGGATAAAGATCAGAGGTTGCCCACTTCCCACTAAGACAACAGAAGGATTCTAGCAACCTGAAAGTGAGTTTTGAGGTTCTAAGTCAAACTGGGGATAAGTAGCAGGGCCATTGTCTGGGGTGTCAGCACTTACCTGTTGGGCCAGCTTTGCAGCTGCTGCAGCCAAACCTGTCTCAATGGAGGCTACTCGGGTTCCCTCACGCACAGGACGGTCCTGCTTCGGTAGGGTTGGAGTCACACGGGCTGCAGGAGAAACAGAATGAGAAGTTGTCACATTCTTTTTCGAGTCCAGCTGAAAAAATTTATGAATCCCAACCATGTTACACACTTCCTATCTCCCCTAAAGGTGATTTGATTGGTCTTTATGTTTCTCATTTTTCACAAAACCACATTTTGCTTTCTGTAGATAATAAACTAATGCACAAATGCCCAAAACACACACAGATGAAAGGATCAAACGTACTCTCCCTGAACTGGCATTGAAGGTTGTCCATGTTCTGCTCCCAGACTACCTAACCCCAATGAATGTCTATACCCACATTCACAGTTACTCCAGACAGAATGGCTTCTTTATTGTTGTTGCTGTTAAATGCCATTGAGTTGGTTCCAACTCCCAGTGACTCTGTACAGTTTCCAAGGAGCAGCTGGTGGGTTTGAACTGCCGACTAATCCTAGTGCTAATCCTACAGTACCACACCGGCTTCCTTAGTGCACATCCAAAATACATACAGCTCACTCTCCCCTTATGTCTTCCTCCCCACCATCCACACTACCTGAAGTGTATTCTTCACCTAGTCAACACTTGCCTATCTTGTAATGAGAAGCTGAAATCATTCTCCTGTGTAAAACCTCTAGAATTTCTGGCTCCCATGATCTCTACCTCCTCTAAACCTTTGAAATATACTAGTATCTTGATACATCTCACATACCATCTTATCTCATCCTGTAATATTAATGTACGCTATTTTGTTTACCAATCAGGCTATGAGCTCCTGAAGAAGACTATCTTCTTTTATAACCCCCTTATACTATTTTAACAATCCTGAATCAAGAAACTGATTACTTATATAGTTACTCATTTTGGGTTTTCAGTAGGAAGTGTATTTCAGGGTAACCAAATAGGGAGTCCTGGTGTGGAGCTGTGGTTTAATGTGCTGGACTGCAAAGTCAATTTGAAGTGCAAGGTCAGCAGTTCAAAATCACTAGACACTCTTTGGAAACCCTATACAGTGTCACTATGGGTTGGAACTGACTCAATGGCACTTCACAACAATAATAACAAATAGCCCTAGTTGGTGAAGGAAAGCTCCTTATAGAAAAATGCCAACAAACAAATGTAGGAGGAAAGACATAATTAGAAATTCACAAGTTTGCAAAACCTCTCATGAAATAATTCATGCTAGGCTATTGGATATTCATATAATGCCAAAGTATTGCCTTCCAGATAATTTGCTAGCTGCAAGAAGAAAAACTTAACTTTACAACAGAGAGATTTTATTATGGACTTAATATTAAATAACATCAAGGTCTTATGGTTAATCTTGTTCTGTACGGTAACAGAATTGTGGCTATGTGATCTGAAACATATCTAGCAAAAATGTTAGTATAAAAATTTTGGGTCATGAATGCTTGTGCATCTTTTATGTTATTTTTGATAGTTTTGTATGTGTGCTAGTTTTAAAACATGATCCTAAATTCTTTGACACTTTTTCTACTGATAGGTGGGGTCTATGTCCCCCTACCCTTGAATCTTGGCAGATAAATGCAAGGTCAGCAGTTCAAATCCACCAGCCACTCCAAGGGAGAAAGATGAGGCTTTCTGGTCCCGTAAGATGTACAGCCTTGGAAACCTTATACAGGGTTGCCAAAGTTGGAAGTGACTCCACAACACAAAACAAGGCTTTAGTGGTTGGTGGGTAAATTTGACTAATAGAATATTAACTGGTCTTCCTTGTAGTCATATGGATATTATCCTATCACAGACAGCACTGTACTTCAAGACAGATCTTGAGATGTTCCTTTTGATGATGAATACGATGCCATTCCTCTTCAATTTGTCACTCCCAATACAGTAAACTATATTATTGTTTGATTCAAAATGGCCAATACCAGTCCATTTCAGTCCACTAATACCTAAGATATCGATCTCTATGTGCTCCATTTCATTTTTGATGACTTCTAATTTTCCTAGATTCATACATTCTACATTCTGATTATTAAGAAACATTTGCAGCTATTTTTTCTTATTTTTAGTTGTGCCCCAATAGAAAATGAAGGTCCTGAAATCTCTGCTCCATCCACATTAAGGTCAATTCTACTTTGAGGAGGCAGCTCTTCTCAGTCGTATTATGAGTGCCTTCCAATTTGAGAGGCTCATCTCTGGCATCATATCAGACAATGTTCTGCTGCTTTCATAAAGTTTCCAGTGGTTAACCATCAATGGTCTGACTCTCCAGTCTGTTCATCTTGGGTGATCCTGTTATTTAAAATATTTTGCAAGCAATAGTTACCTACTGGGGGTGAGTGGTAAGGCGACCTAGATGTTCTTCTTGGTACTATATGCTAACTAAATTATGTTGTTATTATATGCCCCGTTGAATCTGTTCCAACTCATAAGCAACTCTATGTAGGGTTTCCAAGGAGCAGTGGTTGATTTGAACCACTGATCCTGTGGTTAGCAGTCCAGTGCTTATCCTATTTAAAACATAGATATTAAAATTTAAAAAGCAAGCTGTAATTAAAAATATCAAGGTGGTAACTATTTGCTCTTTCAATATGGAAACAATATTGATATAGAACAAGATCAACATTTGATATAGAAATATTCATATTTTTCATGTAGCATTAGGAAAAAACCATTACAAATAAAGGAAAAAATATATATAAAATGAAGAATGAGTTTCTTACTATATAAGAATGACAATCTAAAAAGCTTAAAGACCCACATAGATAATGGGCAAAAGACAAACAAAATTCATAAAAGAAAAAATTCTAACACCAATACAAGCATATAGAAAGCATTTAATGAAATAAATGCATATTAAAATCAATGATACATTGTTGTATGTATGTGAATTACCAAAGATTAAAAAAGATTAGCACTAGACTGCTAACTGCAAGGTCAACAGTTCAAACTCACCTATATGAGGTCTTTATGAGTTGGAACTGGCTCAACAGCACTTAAAAACAACATAAGTATAAGTATGCTTCAAATGAAAAAAAAAAAAGGAGAAGAGGAAATATATTAATGTAAAAGAGTGCTTCAAAAAGTTCATGAAAATAAAAAAACAAATGCTGTTGAATGATGACGCATGGAGGGGACTGAAATCATTACAATGAAACAAAATATGATAGGATGAATGTAAAGCTGATGCTCACCCTATCACTCAATTCACAAATAAAAACTCATGAAAAAAAAAGTTCATGGAAAATAGAATTAAAAGATAATGAAAAATTTCCATGAACGTTTTGAAGCCCCCTCATATTTCCTCTTATATGCATAAACTATCTCTGAAAGGATACCCAAGAAACTGATGACAGTGTTTGACTGGAGAAGGGGAATTGGAAAGCTCGGTAACACAGGTGGGTGGATGATTTTTCACTGTGCACCCTCATACACTATATTGATTCTTTTGGCAACCCATGACACTTTCCCATCCAAGTACTAACCAGGCCCGACCCTGCTTAGCTTCCGAGATCAGAAGAGATCGGGCGCATTCAGGGTGGTATGGCCGTAGACAACCCATGACACTTTCAATATTCTCTTCTTCCAACACCATAACTTAAAGGCAAAGGCATCAATTCTTCTACGGTCTTCTTTATTCACCGTCCAGCTTTTGCATGCATATGAAGTTATTGAAAACACCACGGCTTGGGTCAGGTGTTGGAAGAGAATATTTAAAGTGCCATGGGCTGCCAAAAGAACCAATAGATCCATTTTGGAAGAAGTGCAGCCGGAGTGCTCCATAGAGGCCAAGATGGCCAAACTTCGTCTCTCATACTTTGGACATATTGTCAGGAGGGACCAGTTGCTGGAGAAGGATATCATGTTTGGTAAAG